GCCCCCGCCGCCGGCCTGCGCGCGCCCGCTCCGCGCGCGCCCGCGGCTCCCATTGAGCCCCGGGCCCGCCCGCTGATGTCATCCCCGGCCCTCCGCCGCCGCCCCGGAGGATTTAAAGGGCCCGCGCGCTCTGGGCCTGGGGAGGACGCTCGGGGGCCGCAGCCAAAACGCAGTGCCCTGGGCCACGCGAGCAGCACCGTGCAGGAGCGCAGTGTCGCGCGTGGGAGCCGAGGAGCGCACGCAGACGCTGCCACCCTGAGACGAGCCCGGGCGGGGCGCAGGTGGAGAAAGTGCGGTGGGGGGGCAGGAAGAAGAGGAGGGCACGCAGAACCGGGGTTTTTCACCCTCAAAGCATCCTCTGCCTCTGGCCAGATCAGCGGGCCTCTGAGAAGGAAGGCCTGTGCACGTTCCCCACACTGCAAAAGGAGCCACAGAGTTGGGGCTCAGGCCCCCCCAGGCTCTGAGTGCCGCAGAGAACGCTGGCCAGGTTGATTCAGGGGCGGTGAAGGACGGAGGGCCTATGCCCCAAAAAAGATCCAGGGTCCAGCCTGGCTGTTACACTCTCCTCCCAGAAAAATATCAAAGGCAAAGGCCCTTTTCTTCTCCATCCCAACCCCCCTGCAGCTCAGCTTGAAGGGGCACAGAGCAGACCCTCAAATCCTAATTTACCCCCTCGGGGTTGGGACCCCACATACCGCTATCGAACCAGCACCTAAATTAGGGGCCCATTCACCCCAGCCCTGGGATGAGGAAGAAAGACCCTGCCCTCCAGGTCCCCCTGAGAATTAATGAAGGCTTCCTCCAGGACAAGGTTATTAAAATGATGATATTTACACTGTCCCATGTAAAGCTCGAAGGTTATGACACACCTACACTGTCAAACACAGTTGTGACTGTGGACACCCAAAATGGCTGAGCACACGGCTTCTGGAAGCACGTTTTGAGGAAGAGTCACTTCCATAATAACTGCATCTTCCCTCAAGCCTGAGGGACTTAGTCACACACTGTCCCAACTGGTAGGAACCTTACAGGCTGGGTCCATTCACAGGCTGGGAGACTATAGCCCAAGAGAAGCCACAGGGTTGCCTGGGACTACACAGCCCTGCAAGACAGCCCTTCCTCCCAATGGTCCCGGAGTGCTGGGCCTGAAAGCCTGTTTCCAAGAGCAGAAAAGTGACAAGCCACTGCCTTCTCCCCAGGAGACACCCATGGCAGGCAACCAGGGATCTGGCCTGGGTGTTGCCTTGCCAGGGCAGGGTGTGACCAACCAGGCAGTGGACTTGGCTCAGCCTGTGGTGTTTCTTCTTGTTTTTGTTTTGTTAGTCAATTCCTAATTGGTGGAGTTCATCTTCCAGATCAGATTCCTGACTTCTCCAGAAGCCCTGGTAACTCGGGGGCCACAGGCAGGGTTCTGTGTCCTCCGAAAGGCCAGGCAGTGGGGGCCTGGCCTATGCAGAGTTGAATGCACCCCTCTACCCTCCTGTCGTCAGCATCCCAACTTTCCAAGCTGGGCCCTGTTTTGCAAACACGGGGGCTCCTTTTCTTCAGCACCTACCAAGCACCCCACATCCTTGGTATTATCTCCAAGGACAACAGATGGAATGTGAATTCTTTCCACGGTCACCAAGGGGACTCCAAGGGTCTAGCACTTGCCGAAGGGCACATACCAACTCTTGAGCCTGAACCTGGGGCTGGAACAAGGCTGCTGCCCCTTCTAACCCAGTCCACCTCCAGCCTTGAGGAGAAATGTCCTCATCCCCTTCTCCTCATCAGGCCCCACCCCTTTTTGAGACAGAGTCTTGCTAAACTGTCCAGGTTGACCAAGAACTTTCGATCATTCTGCCTCAGCCTCCCTAGTAGGGAAACCACAGGTCTTACGAGCCTCTGGTTCCCCCAAGGCCTGCTGAGGAGGCCCGCGCTCCTGAACCTTCCCAGTCTGTCCTCACTGTCTCGACCCACTTTCTCCTTTGCAGGGATGCTCCCCGATCCTGTCACCTGACAAGCCAACTGTGAGAGCCCCAGTCCTCTTCCCTCTGACTCCTCCATAAGTCTAAGCTCTAACCCTAAAGAGTTTTCCATTTAAGCTCCGAGAAGAAACAGACATGAGGAAAAGGCCAGCCAAGAAGAGGAGACTGTTCCAAAGCACGAGAAATCCTACCTCCTTGCAGCAGCCAGGGCCTCTCTCTCCTGGAATCAGAATCGACTCCCAGTTTGAAAGTCCCAGGATGTAGTTTAAAGTGGCTCCCTAGCTGGGTATGGGGGCGCACGCCTGTAATCCCAGCACTTGGGAGGGTAACGCAGGAGGAGTTCCAGGCCAGCCTGGGCTACATAATAAGTTCAAGGCCACCCTGAACTACATAGTGAGATATTGTCTCAAAAAATAAAATCAAGTCACCTTCACAGAGAGGCATGGCCTATCATTTTCCTAGCACTCAGCACTACCTAACATACTCTACATGGTGCTTATTTTATTTTTATTTATTTTTGGTCTGCATCCCCCTCTGAGGGAGCTAAATTGCATGAAGGCAAGGAGTGAATGCTATTTTGGGTACCACCATGTCGCCAATACTTAGAATAGTGTCTGGCACCTCGCAGGCATTTAACAAATAAGGAGGGAATGAATGGACTGCAAAGAGACGCGTTCCTCCCTCTCTGACCCATGTGGGGCGCTGTCCCCTGCTGCATGCCAGGCCTCTAGAGATGCCTCAGCTGAATGGCTCACTCTTACTGTCAACTGGACCAGATTAGGAGATTCCAGGACAGGCGGTTGGATTGTGAGGGCACTAACCTCATCCTTGTATTAACGCAGGGATGAGTTCACATGTAATAGGCTATTTGGAAGTGGGTCACTGGGCATGACTTTGAAGGATAAAACTTTGAAAAATATTTCCCTCCCATTTTTTTTATCAGTATATATTTGTTTGCAATATATAATAAATACATGCATCATGGGGAATTGGTCCTTATACATTCGTGAAGCATGGGGCTACATCCCCAGACCTTTTTATTTTTTATTTTCAGACAGGGACTTGCTAAGTTGTCCAGGCTGGGCTTGAACCTGTGATCCTCCTGCCTCAGCCTCTGCAATGCCCTTCCCTTCTGCCATGTTTCTGCCTTGGAGCCAGCCGACCATGGCCTGAAACCGTGAACTAAATCTTTTCTCCTTTAAATTGTTTTTGCTGGGTCTTTGGTCACAGTGCTAACTAGCCTTGCCCACCTCGGTCTCCGCTTCCAAGGGCCCTGTAGCCCCTCTGTCTCTCCCTTCTTGGGTCCTGCTCACAGCTGTCCCAGGCCTCTGAAGTGCTGAGAGGTCCCCAGCCAGCCCATAGATGCCACCTTCCTGTGGCTTCGGTTCCTAGATGTCCTCTAGGTCCTACCCACCTCAGTGCTCCTGGGGTAGTGCCTGGGCCACCCTCTCCTTTTCTCCGCTTCTACTTGGTGACCTTGGTGTGTGGCCGTGTCTGGTCAGTTTATCACTGCCAGTGGCTCCTCCTCCTCCTCCAGCTACAGGAAGGCAGGGCTGCAAGAGGGCTCGATTTTTTACTTTGTACTTTGTTACAAGGTCTCGGAGTTGCTCACACTTGGCTCCAACTTGTGATCCTCCTGCCTTAGCCTTCCAGGATGCTGAGAATACAGGCGTGCACCATCACAGTGGCTCCAGAGGTCTGGATTTCAATGCAGGGCCAATCACTGGATTTCAGGGTGACCTTGGGGGACTCCCAGCCCCTTTCTGGGGCTCTGAGCAAGGTGACCTCAAAGGTCTTCAGTGTCTCCCTTTGAAACTAGGGGCTGGGTCAGACTGGGAGCCACCTCTAGACTCCACATCCCAGCCACCATGTGGAGAAAGGCTCTGGGGTCACAGTCTGGGGTGAGTAGGAAAGGGCTCCTCCCCTTACCATTCCCACACTCAAAACATGAGCATTTCTTGGCTACTAAAAATACACCCATAGATGAAATCCACATTCTTTCCCAGGGCCGGCAGTGACTTGGCCCCTACTGGCTCCCAAACTCATTTCATACCTCACTTACTGTTCTCTTTCATGTCCTCAGACCCCAGGACCTTTGCACTTGCTGCTTCCTCCTTCTGTCTAGAAGTATCTGGCCCAGATTGCCAGTGGCTGTCTCCTGCTCTTGGCCCAGGTCACAATTCAAAAGTCACCTCCTCTTAGAGGTCTTCCTTGATCACACAGTCATGAGTGGGCTTCTAACCCCTCTGCCTTCTCCCAGTGATAGCCTGCTTTATTTTCTCTATGTTCCTTAGGACTCACTGAAAATACCAACTTATTTTTAACCTTTTTGTTTGTTTGCTTGTTTTTTGAAAAGGGTCTCACTATGTAGCACAGGCTGGCCTCAAACTCACAGCGATTCTCCTGCCTCAGCCTCCTGAATGCTGGGATTACAGGTGTGTGCCACCATGCCTGGCTGAATATTCACTTATATTAATGACCTTGATATAAACTCTGAAAGAGAGAGAAAGAGATCCCCTCCTAAAGGTGCCCCATAAATAGCCATGCAATGAGCGAGGGTATGTGTGCTGAGGCGTGGAGAGGGGCCTGACACTTTCCATGCTGGGGCCACACTGTGCCCAACAGCCTTTCCTTGGGGACAGGCCCTGTCCCGTGCTCCTCTGCACCCCTCCACCTTCCACCAGTGGCCTCTCTGTCTTCCCCTGCCCACAGGGCTGCAAGGGGGCCAGCCCTCTCTCAGCCATCCTCATGCCACTGTTTCCGTCCCAGAATCCAGTCCCAGAGGAGCAGGAACACTTGTCATGTGTCCCACGTGTCCCACAGGGGGGAAC